GCAGTTTTCCATGCTTCTGATTTGTTACCAACATCAGATTTATTTCCAAAAAACTCCTGAAAATGAAAGGTGCATGAGAATTCAATGTTCATAACGGGAAATTACATATAAGCAACGAATCAATAGTTTACACATAATGGCTCGGCATGAGTGCTCTCTACTGACCACAAAGCGATCGACCGCTTACATACAGATATGCACAGATATGAACAAAAAGTTTTGTAACAACTGAACAATTTTGTAACCGCTAGGATATCGGTCTCCACCATATTTCCATCAACTGAAACGTCGCTTTTAATGCATCTTCTGGTGCACTGACCTCGATCATGATGCAATCAACAATAGTATCCAACCCGCCAGGGTACGCAGCAATGAGGAAGCTCAGCCGATCTGTGGTGATGAAAAAGGAGAAGAGTAGTAATGAGAAGCTGTCTACCTTCAAGTCAGCATAAGCAACTACTTTCATCAATGGCCATGAGTGGTGAATATTCAGCAAAAGAGTTAATCCAGTTTCAAATGAAAAAATTAGGTTCCTTCGTGAACCGCCGGTGAAATGGATCAGACATGCTCTGGAATATAACAGTCTCAGTTAACTTTGCTATGACTCGCCTTTTCGCCATATCGCGAGAAATCACAAGTGCAACGGCTTGAATGCTAGGTTACAACGCCAGAAGAGAGAAAAATAAGAGACTCGCTTAGAAAACTCACACAGCTAGGGTAAGGTTAAGGGTCAGTTGAACATGTGACACTACCGATGATTTGAATTCCGTTCAACTAGCTTGTATGATGAGAGGAAAAGAGAAATCGTTAGGAAACCCATCCATACCTGTCACTGTAACCCGTCAAATTGTGGGTAATAAAAAACCGTTAATCAGAATTAACGTTTTTTAAACGTTTGATAACATAAATGATCGTCAAGCCTCTGTCCAGGCGAAGCATACTTTAAATCAACAAACTCCACAAAGTATGATCTACGAAATGCGTTGAAGTTTATGCCTGTAGCTGAAACGAACAACAGCAGCACTGAAAACATAATGCATTTTGAAAACATACATTCGGCAGCACGCATGTGCATTAAATACGCAAAGAAGTAATAGATTTGGTGTCTGTTGACAAAAGCCCAATTTAAAAAATTCGTTTTCTGAAAGTTCCTCCAGTACCTTTGAAGTAATGTAGTGTTTTCCAGAGATTCAAGTCCTGAGTCCTGACTTTAAATAAAATCTTACAAAAATTTAAAAGATTTAAATTTAATACGAAATTACCATGATTTTGGTACAAGATTCGCAACAATCTTCCACTTCAAGATGGCAAGCCGACAGCACGATGAAAGACAATAGATACATGTTCATTTCTCCTCACCCCTCTTGATGACGAGGATTACATAGCAGAGGAGTTACGAACATGATAAGATGGGTGGGATAGTAATGAATCTGAATGCTAGTTAAAAGCGTGAAATGGTATGACAAAACAAAGTTAATCGTTCATAGTCTAGTTGCTTTGCGCTCCCTTAGCTAGACTGTGGGTTCTTCAGTAAAATTCGCAACAGCCGAGAATAACATCACATACATAATGCTTCACTGAAAGAATTAAGGAAGAATCTTCTGTACCAATGCCCAATGAGTGTATGATAATGTCAAAACCAAAAACTCTGATTCAACTGCAATCGTTTAGAAGATGAACAAAGATTGAAAAACAGTTCTTCAGATTAATAAGGTCTATATGATCGAAACAATCTCAGATTCTTATAATTTGTATATTGCCATGAAAACATATGGCATAGTGATTCATGAGAAATCATGCATGACCAACAAGATATTAATCTAGGCAATAAAATGATGCGAATTGCATCGATGCAGTACATCTGTTAAAACACTTGGAGCAGTGGCCTACTGAAGCTACCCCCAATAACTGTACGAACAAGAAAGCTGCCAAACCATTCTTACAGGTAAATGTTCATTAATTTTGGTAATTGATATGAAGTAACACAAAACCAAAGGTATCCGCGGAGAAATTATTAGTTGTCTTCACCCCTATCTCACAAAGAAAAGTCTTAGAGAAGTTAGTTTATTACATAATTATTTAAAGAATTAACAAAAGTTCCATCTCTTGAAGTTGTTCTGTTTGGCATAAGGGTGAGGATATTAGCAAAACTTTTTGAAATTGCACCGGTAACCTAACAGGAATGGTGAGTTATGAAGAAAGATGGGTGAAAATTTATACAAGTAATGAGTAGTAGAGCGCAGGTCATGGCGATGACTTACCTCTGATTCCTGATCGCCCAACTGGCCAGAATATAATCGACAGCAGCTTATGTGTAGCTTATGAAACGACACATCGACCTGTTTGATAACACCACGAAGTTCACCGCCCATTGACGCAAGATCTCGGAAAGTACTCGATCTGCAGTTGAAAAATTCGCGCTTCATCTGCTGAAAGGCGCGCCATAAGTTCGTCACCAGCTCTTTATCCCTTGCGATGTGAACAGCGTACTCCTAAACGTAAAAAAAATTACGTGAAACAAGTCACATGTTCATAATGTCATAGAATAGTGGTTCTCGTTTCAACACTTCGCGTTTGGAGAGCCTTGTTCTGTTCATATTCGTAAATTTATTTCAATCTGTTCAATTAAAAGCATAACGGGTAAAAATAAAACTTAAATTTAACATGGTGTCAAGAATCATTTGCATGCATTCCCATGCTCTCTCACCAAATACATACAAGAAACCGTAAAATTTATTCAATATAAATGGTTTATTATTAAGCCGATATGATGATACCTCCTCCTTCTGTTTCCAATTGTCTTCGAGAAGTCTGTGACTCAAAATACGTTCCTCAAGCGTGCGTTTGAACCGTCCCATCATGGCGATAACCTTTTCCTTCTCGTGGTACTCTTCTTCCAGCTGCCGTTGCAGGAGCACAACCCTATGGAAAAACGTGCAAGTAAATCAAATTCTGAGCATTGCGATTATCTACCTGTCGGTTTCATCGATTCCGGCGGCAACAGTTTCGTCTTCACCGTCTTCCTTTAACGGCTAAATATGGCGAAGACGCTCAATAGACAGTGCAAAAATCAGGGGCGATGAATTCATGGAAACTTACTGTACTAGTCACAGGACCACTGGCGAAAAAACTATCCATTGCTGGGTCGTTGTTGCGCATGCTATCGTTAATCATACGCTGGCGGCAATGAAACAAAAGGTTCTGCATTTTGGCAATCAGCTCTGCCTGATGAAGCAGACGACTTTCCAGATTAGAACGAGGATCACTTTCATGGTCAGAATCTGTCTTATTCGGTTTCACTGGCATCTCTTGCGACGTGTCAAAATCGATTAATATCGGGCTCTACAAAGTTCCATTTCTTGCTTAATAATGGCCAGCTTAATTGTCAAAAGTTAACCAAAATAAAACGTCTACAGCTCCAGGCATTTAGTCTGTGATAGAAAATATAACATAGAAACGATGGTTTTGAACTCTTAATAGAAGATTCGTAACAGTCGTCTGCAATACCAAATTTCGAACTGGAGTGGATTAGTGTTCTGCTTTCCGAATAGCCCAACCTAACACATTAAACAGCTGCCAGCTGTCAACTTTGTGTAGGTTCTATGACCGCAGCTCTGCTATACTGTGATGATTTTATCATGTGAGGTTCTGCTGTTTATAACCGTGTATAAAAACCATCATGAACTCCGTTATACTGGCATCATTTTCAAACAAGATAGCGCCAAGTAATGAAAAGCAACGATTTGCTGCCTCTCAAACCCATCTGCGATAAATTCGTGCCAGAATGTGACTTCTGGTATGGTCATCAGACATCACCTAAACATGCCAATGTACAAATACATATTCATGATTCTATATACATTCAAAACGGAAAATTAAGCGACCAACCAGGTAACTGTTGCAAATATGTCATGCAAAAAAAATTTCCTTGGCCTAAAAGTAAATTAAAAATACCTGCTCGTTACAAGCGTCATTTTCAACGCCATCGGCTGCAGCGGTTAAATTAGGTGCTGCATTCAATTGC